GGGGGGGGGGGGGGAGGGGGGGGGGGGGGAGGTGGGGGGGGGGCCTGGGCCCCCCCCTCAGAAATGGGGGGGGGGGGGGGCGCCCCCCCGTGGCTTTAGAGGACCAGAGGAGAGTGCTTGGCACAGAAGTGACACCTGCCTTCAGGGACTGGCTGAGCTGCGGAAAAGGGGCCCACAATCTCAGGGGCCATGTTTCTGCCGGGCCATGCATGTACTCACCACTACCCACCTGCCCCACCTGCCCAGGCCGTCTCTCGTCTGTCTGGCTTCCCTTCCTAAAACCCAGGAGGAAAGAGCCGGAAAGGATCTGTCCTCATTCAGCTGCTGTATTTTACAGGGAAAAATATGAAGTTCAAAGAAAGCAAATGACTTGTCCAAGTTAGTGAATCCGAAATCAAACCCAGGTCTCCCACCAACAGGTTCATCGTACTACCTGGGCCAAGCTATGGTCTGGCCTCTCAGCCTCTGCCTGCAGCCCCCACTGAAATACCCTCTGCACTGCCCCACCCTGGCTTTCCCCCGTTGCTTCCTTGGGGGTCACATTCTGTGTCATCTGCCCCCCAACAGAGGGTGACTTTGCCTCCTGATCTCCTGGCTGTTGCTTCTTGCCTCCTGGCCACATCCCCACAGGAAAAGCGCCCTTCCCTCCACCTTCCCCGGCTGGAGAAATGCCTGGGCTAGGACCAAGGCCCTGTTGCTAGCAGTGAGCAGGATGCTGGGGGCTGCTGAGGCACTTGCCTGAGTCGTGGTCACAGGAGCTGGACAGTCCAGTGAGTGAGGGGCTCTCAACTGTGAGTTGGGATCTCGACCACTCACGTGGTCATCTTTAGGAAGCATAAGATCTGGATGCGGTCACCCATGAGATGCTTCTGAGCTGAAACTGAGTGTCACCATCTGGAGTGCCATGCACTGCTCCCACCTCCAACCTCTGTTTCCCTGCAGGAACCACCCTACTCATCCCCCTGACTGCTGAGGTCGCCCTGGAAGGCCTGAGCCCCAACTAGGGCCTGTGCTGGCTGTGGTGCTGGGTGCAGGCCACTGGCCTGGAAGCTAGGCCCCCGAGTGCCACCCATTGGCCCACCTTGCCTATGCATCCCTTCCCATCCCTCCTCCAGCCCTCTAGTCCCCCTTCCTTTATCCCACGCTCCCTCCTTCCTTCCTTGCCCGCAGGGTCTGCTTTCCCAGGCGCCTCCCTTCTATCCCTCTCCTGGCCCCTTTCCCCCCAGCCCAGGCACCTCCTCTTTCTTGCCAACCTTTCCAGTGGTCCCTGTCGTGTTTCCCTGTATCCCTGCCCTAGCTCTCTCCCTGCACCTAAACCCCTTCCATCCATCTTTGAGCTCTGCCTCCCCACAGTACCTGCACAGGCCCACTTGTTTTCATGTAAAAACGTTCCTCCTTCTGTGCCTCCCAGACCCACCTCCTCCTGAGGGTGCTCAACGTTCCCTTCCAATCCAGCAAGACCCCATTTATACCTTTTGGGGCCCCAGTCCTTGAGGGCCCCCACCTACTCTCACCCCTGTCTGCCCTTGTAGGGTGCCTGATTGGTTTTCAGCGGTGCTAGTTGAGGAACGAGGTGATCGGGAAGGGCAGCTACAGCTCCGTGCTTCCCTGGCCCTGCTGGGCTCTCTTTGTTCCCCTGATTACGAGCCACATGAGAGGGGTCAGAGGAGAGAGAGAGAGAGCTGTGGAAGAGATGTTGAAAGAACTCCAGGGTACGTGAGAGGGTCCTCTTCTCTGCTCAGAGTGTGTGAAAGCCCTATTCTGTCAGTGTCTCCCTCTTCTTCTTAAAATTCTCTTATTTTCAGAGCTTTGCAGATTTAATTGACTAGAAATGGGGGTTACTCCACACTCTTCCATCTGCAGATATCACTGGGGTTAACCTGCCTCCTACCCCAGATTACAAAGCAATTTTTCATTGGACCCAGGTTGTTGATTCAGGATAATTAATTCTGACCGGCATGGCCTTGCATACATTTACATGTCATTTCTCAGGGAAACTCAGAAACATTA